CTCTAAGTCTCTCTCTCTCTCTCTCTCTCTCTCTCTCTCTCTCTCTCTCTCTCTCTCTCTTTTACTTTTTCTCCTTCTGTTCACTTTCTTTATTATTTATTCTTTTCCTTTTCTCTTTGCTTTCTCTATTCTTTCCTCTCTCATTCTTCCTCTTTTGTTCTTCCTTTCTTAACCTTTACTTCTTATTCCCTCCTTCTTCTTACTTATCCTCATTCTACTAATCTTGTCTTACCTCGTCCTCCTCCTCCTCCTCCTCCTCCTCCTCCTCCTCCTCCTCCTCCTCCTCCTCCTTCTCCTTTTCCTACTATTAGTACTATTACATCTACCACTACTACTACTACTACTCCTCCCCCCCCTCCCCCCCTCCTCCCTCGTTCCACAGCCTCCTTCCACTTCCACCACCACCACACCTACTCATCGCCCTCCTCTTCCCCCTTTCTCTTTCTTCTCCTCCTCCCCCTTCTCCTTCCTCCTTTCCCCCTCTCTCCCTTCCTTCTCCCTCCCTTCCCCTTCCTTCTCCTCCTCCTCCTCCTCCTCTCTCCCTCCTTCCCTCCCCCTCTCTCCCTCCCTTCTCCCTCCCCCTCATCCTCTTCCCTCCCTCCTTCCCTTCCCCCTCCTCTTCTCCCTCCTCCTCCTCTTCCCTCCCTCCCTCCTCCTCTTCCCTCCCTCCCTTCCCCCTCCTCCTCTTCTTCCCTCCCTCCCTCCCTCCTCCTCTCCCTCCCCCTCATCCTCTCCCTCCCTCCCTCCCTCCTCCTCTCCCTCCCCCTCCTCCTCTCCCTCCCTCCCTCCCTCCCTCTTCCCCCTCCTCCTCCTCCTCCTCTTCCCTCCCTCCCTCCCTTCCTCCTCCCCCTCCTCCTCTTCCCTCCCTCCCTCCCCCCTCCCCGTTCCACCTCCTTCACTAAACTAAGAAACACGAGCACCTTAAACCACGTCTTCGAAGAACCGACGTCTCGGCTGACACCCAAAGCGCTCGGCGTTCACGTGTTCGTTCACGTGTGCTTGTTAGTTGAAAGAAGAACAAGAAGAATGTAGAACGAGAAATAAATTAGAGACGAAAGCGGTGTAAGACAGAATCGTCCAATAAACAAACTTGGAAAAGGGAGAGAAAATGTTTTCTGGGCCGACAAGGCGAAAGTGTCTATCTGAGTATAGATAATAATAATTAAAAGAATGATAATAATAATAATTAAAAGAATGATAATAATAATAATTAAAAAATGATAATAATAATAATTAAAAGAATGATAATAATAATAATTAAAAGAATGATAATAATAATAATTAAAAGAATGATAATAATAATAATTAAAAAATGATAATAATAATAATTAAAAGAATGATAATAATAATAATTAAAAGAATGATAATAATAATGATTAAAAAATGATAATAATAATAATTAAAAGAATGATAATAATAATAATAAAAAAATTATAATAATAATAATTAAAAAATGATAATAATAATAATTAAAAGAATGATAATAATAATAATTAAAAGAATGATAATAATAATAATTAAAAGAATGATAATAATGATAATTAAAAGAATGATAATAATAATAATTAAAAGAATGATAATAATAATGATTAAAAAATGATAATAATAATAATTAAAAGAATGATAATAATAATAATAAAAAAATTATAATAATAATAATTAAAAAATGATAATAATAATAATTAAAAGAATGATAATAATAATAATTAAAAGAATGATAATAATAATAATTAAAAGAATGATAATAATGATAATTAAAAGAATGATAATAATAATAATTAAAAGAATGATAATAATAATAATTAAAAGAATGATAATAATAATAATTAAAAGAATGATAATAATAATAATTAAAAGAATGATAATAATAATAATTAAAAGAATGATAATAATAATAATAAATACGATAATAACAACAACAACAGTAATAATGATAATACTAACAATAATAACAACAATGAACCGTATTCAAGTTGACAAATATCGAATTGTTATGAACGGTTTCGATGCTACGTATCTCTGACGAAGATAAAATTCGAGACCGCTTGCGTGTGCTGTGTGGTGCAGCGGTAGCGATCTCGTCCAGCAATCTTGCTGACCTGCGTTCGAATCCCTCGCCACCAGTGGATGGTAACCCCGGCCATTCCTTGTACACAGGAATAATAAGGATAAAAATAATAATAATAAATTAATAATAATAATAGTAATAATAATGATGATAATAATAATAATAATAATGATAATAATAATAATAATAATGATAATAATAATAATAATAATAATAATAATAATAATAATAATGATGATAATGATAATGATAATGATAATGATGATGTAATGATCATAGTAATAATAATGATAATCATGATAATGATAATCAAAACATTCATCATAATCATCATCAATGATGATGATTATGATAATAGTGATATTTGCAATAAATGTATTAATGACAACAATAATAGTATAATACATATAGTGATATTAGCAGTCACAATAAGGGTAATAATAATGGTATGTTTTTAGTGATAATAGTAATTATTATGATATTAATGATAATCATAATCATAATGAAAACTATGATAGCAACAGCGATAAAAAACTAATGAAAATAACAATAACAGAACAAAAGCATAAACAATTAAAATGCAGTAAAAAAAAAAAAAATAGACAGACAAAGAAACTATCATTATTCTAGATACATTTTAGTTTATTTTCTTTCGTCTTTTTTTCTTGATCTTGCTCGCGAGTGCCACACCAGACGTGCCAAAATTCCCTTCGACGGCAAAAGAACAAACAAACAACTGCGTATCTTAGTCTTTTTTTTTTTTCTTTTTTTTTTTCTTTTTTTTTTGGGGGGGGGGGGTTCTTAATCTTTAAATATGTCTTTTCTTTTTCGATTTGTTGTTTTGGATGTGAAATAGATTACTAATGGATTTATTGAGTTATTGGTACGTCTTGCTGTGCGTATGTGTGAGTGAATGAGTGAGTGAGTGAGTGTGAGTGTGAGTGTGTATGTGTGTGTGTGTGTGTGTGAATGAGTGAGGGAGAGAGTGAGTGAGTAAGTGAGTGTGTGTGTGTGTGTGTGTGTGTGTGTGTGCGTGTGTGTGTGTGTGTGTGCGTGTCCTTGAAAATTCAAGTGCATACTTTAAAGAGCATTGAACTCGATTTTTTTTTTAAGGCATTGATATCAGACACTGAGGATAAAAAATACTGCCGAATTATTCATTTACATATACATGTGTGTTTATATGTGTGATTCAGGTCGCAGATTTATTTCTTGCATTTTGTGTATGGACAAAACCGCAGACTATTTCCAGTTCATATTCTTTTTTACCAATCAAATAAGAATCAAATATATTTATAATATTTCTTTTTTGTTTTTTCGTTCTTTTCATACCCTCACTTCATCCAAGATATTTCGGTCGAGAAGAAACAAATCCCACGATTTTTTTTTTTTTTTTTTTTTCTCTCTTAGAAGTTTACCGGAGTCAAAATAAAATTTTAAAGTGACTCACGAAAGCCAAACTTCTCAGTTCATTCCTTCAAATATCATCTCAGCTTTAGATCATCATCAAAATCATCACAATCATCATCATCATCATCACTTCACAATCATTCCATCAGCATTTTCATCACAATTCCCTCCAGATCTCACCATCACAACTACCGTCATTATCACCATCTTCATCACCATCATCTCAATCACCATTCTTCAAAGATCCCTTCACCACCATCACCATCATCATCACCATCACCCTATTCCCCATTCCTCCAAATTTTCACCACCGCCACCATCGTCACCATCACCCTCATCACCACAACCCCCCCTCGTCCGAACGCCCACTCTCGTCTTCCGGCCTTGGCTTTGGCTCCAACGAACGCAATCTACCCCTCCCCCCCTTCCCCCCCAGTCACATGGCAGGCAGCATGACCACCCTTGCCCCGTGGACGCAGGTGCCAGGGCTGTGCCGCATGCTCCTTGGGTGAGTGACCTTGGGTGAGAGAAAGAGAGAGTGCAGAAGGGGGGGGGGATGGCACTGGGGAGCGAGAGAGAGTGAAAGAAGGAGGCGGATGGGAGAGAGAGAGAGGGGGGAATGGGGTGGGAGTGGGTGAGACAAGGGAAGAGAGAGAGAGAGAGAGAGAGAGAGAGAGAGAGAGAGAGAGAGAGAGAGAGAGAGAGAGAGAGAGAGAGAGAGGGAGGGAGAGGGAGAGAGAGAGCGATATAAATAAATAGATAGATAGATAGATAGAGAGAGAGAAAAAAAGAGAGAGAGAGAGAGAGAGAGAGAGAGAGAGAGAGAGAGAGAGAGAGAGAGAGAGAGAGAGAGAGAGAGAGAGAGAGAGAGAGAGAGAGAGAGAGAGGGAGAGAGGGAGAGAGAGAGCGATATATATAAATAGATAGATAGATGGATAGATAGATAGATAGATAGATAGAGAGAGAGCTGATTGTCTCCATTCTCAATCTCTCTCTGGCTCTTTGTTTCTCTCTCTCTCTCTCTCTCTCTCTCTCTCTCTCTCTCTCTCTCTCTCTCTCTCTCTCTCTCTCTCTCTCTCTCTCTCTCTCTCTCTCTCTCTCTCTCTCTCTCTCTCCCTCTCTCTCTCTCTCATTCCCTATCTTCTTTTTCTCCTTCTTTTATTCTCCGTCTGTCTGTCTGTCTCTTTGTTCTTTTATTGTTCCTTTGTCCCTGTCTCGTTGTGTCTGTCAGTCTGTCTGTCTCTATCTCTATCTATTTATCTATCTACCTATCTATCTATCTATCTGCCTATCTCTATCTCTCTAACGCTCTCCCCCCCTGCCCCCCCCCTCTTTTCCCCTCGAGTGCGCAGTCGTGAAACCTAACGAATGCCAGAGGTACGGTACGCGCGCCCGAGAGACAGAGAGTGGGGGAGGGAGGGAGGGAGGGAGAGAGTATGGAGGGGGGGGGAGGAGAGAGAGAGGGAGAGAGAAAGAGAAGTTTGGGTTTGCGGGGAGCCTTCCAGTCAGTTTGCCTCACGTGTTAAGCTGACCAGGTTGTGTCTGTCTCCTATGTCACTGAGACTCGCTTTGACATAGCGCGTTGAGATTCTTTCCTGTTCCCCTCTTTTTTTCTGTTTCGTTTCTCCGTCCGTCGTACGTGCCGGGGGTCCGTGGCAGTTCTCCGGTTGTCAGTGCAGTGTGAGGAGAAGTCTGTCGGCGGCGCAGTGTACGTCGGTGTCAAAGGTGATTCAGAGGCTTTCGCTTTCATGAATGAAGAGTGGCGGTGGTGTTTTTTTTTTTTCATTCTGTCGGTCTTGTTCTAGTGTTGTTATTGTTATTATCGTTATCACTATTTACTATTTACGTTACTATTTTTATTGTGATTATCATGATAATTATTGTGAAGATTACTATTACGATTGTTACGAATGTTATCATTCTCAATCTCATAGTAGTAACAGTTGTAATAAAAGCAGTAGTAGTAGTGATGGTGGCAATTATCGTTAGCATTATTGTTGTCCTCATCAGACAGATTATTTAATCTACCATTAGTAATCTATTACGTTTTGTAATATTCATTCCTCTTTATTCATCTTTTTTTCTCGTCCTTATCTTATCACTGCTTTGCATTCTTCTCTTATCTGGTTATTCGTGATCTGTTCACCGAGATTCCTTTCCTTGTTAAGGCTCCGTCCGTTCGCTTCTACGTTAAGGAAATCTATACCTTGCAATGTTTATGGAACCTGTTGATATAGCAGTGGCAGTGACCGACAGTGATCTGACACAGTGACATAATAATGACACCCCCTGTCGCGCCGGCATCGGGTAACTTGCATGTCATAATGTTTAGGTCATGTAAACGGTGACATAATTCATGGCACTGACGATAATCATATACATACTGGAGTACGACCTGCACTTTCACACTAACTTTACCTTCCATTCCCAAAATTAGTCACACTCAATGCGAAACAGCCAGTAGATGCGTAATTATATCCTGTCCCTCCTGATCACAAATTTATATGCGTTTATAGTGTGAAAGAAAAAAAAGAATATGTAACAATATCCTTTGTTTTCTGTGAGAAGATTGCACGAACATTTTGAAAAATTCTTACAGTGCGATCAGCTGTTACTACACTACAACTGACGCGTGGCCAATTCAAGACCTTAGTCATATGTTCGTGACAAATGTGTTCCTTACTCCACTAATGTCGAGTCGTGTTCCTATGACATGTAAAATATTACTATTTACGACCTGTACATTACTAGAACCATTTGCTATATGTTGCCTAGTGGTTTTAAGGACATTGATTAATAGGAATGTATTTGATAGTACCATAATCATCGTATATATAGTAATTCTGTGTAGCCTTTACACATGTCTTATTAATGAGATCTGAAATATTTAGCGAATGCCTTTCACATCAGGGTGCAAAAACTGACACCATAATATGCCTATAATATTTAGCTTAATAGAACCTGATATGGCTATCTACTATCACGATGTCATATCTTGACAGTGAGTGGAATAAAAAGAGAAAAAAAGTCAAAATCACAAAAGATATGAGACTGCATTCCTTTACTTCACCGTCCAGTTTACACCAGAATTTCACATAAAGTGCTTTATATTTATTATTTCTATTTCATTCATCTATTTGTGTATTTATTTATTTATTCATTATCTTTTTTAGAAAGAGTACCTCCAGCCTGATACGAAATTCCTCGATCCTATGAGAATCGCCTACACAACAAACACTATCTGCTTCTAGCTGGTAACCTACTGAAAATCTTGCCCTGAAAGCTTGCCCTTAAATTTATCGCAAATCAATTCCATGCTCTAGATAATGTTGCGTAATACAAACGGCTACTTTGAGTATCTGAGAGAAGCTAGGTACATATTTCTCCCTAATCGATATCAACGGGAGATGGAATTTTAATGTTTCGCGACGAGGGGCTGTCTCCAAGTGTTTTCAGGGGCCGTCTATTTCAGTCGAGCGTCGGAATTTCGTCAAAGTGATTTTTTTCCTCTCGTTATCCGGATGTTTTTTTTCTCTTTCTCGTTGCTAGGCCAACAGTGATGTTTTTTTTTTCTTTTGTGA